CCACAAGTAGACTGATCTGTACGCCAAAGTTCATGTCGAAACATTACTATTTGATTTGTTGGTACATATCGTACCATCACCCAAAATGTAGAGGACGAACTCAAAAACAATTCAATCTTTGAAATAGTTACTTTTTTCAGTTTTGATAAAGTAATATTTACAAACTTCAGTGTACATCATGACACAGAAAACACATAGTTATACTCTTACGTGTACTACGTCTAATAGAACTTTGCTGTATTATTGATCTAATGTTTTTGCTCAACATATTGTTACAAAACTTGCGATATGTTCTCGTAAAAAAACTGAATGGTAAAGCTTGTTTCAAAAAAAAAATAGATCAAGGCATTGCGATGAGACTTGACGGTTATATTAAGAAAATAGTTACGAGGAAAGTCCTCCAACTGATAAAGTGCTTTTGAGTTGAGACTATGTGCATTCTCTCAAGGACAAAAATAAGTCCCTTTTTCAATGGTTTCTTTTTTCCTTTTCTCTTGTATTATTATATATAAATTGGTATGTCATAATATAGGTAAAAGAGTCAACCATATCTATAATATCTATATATATATATATATATCCATCTGATTTACTTGTTGTTTTGTTTTCTATTTATTTCAAAAGCAGATCGTTTTGAAATAAATACAAAATAATACGTAAATATAATATGTGCATAGCAATGTATATATAATAATATAAGAAGAAAGAAAAAATAAGCCAATGAAAAAGCAACTTATTTTAACTAGTAAAACATTTTGAGGACTCAAATAAGCTATGAATACCCTACAAAGAGTTCGTGTTCGAGGCTTATTAGAGCGGAAATGTTACATTTCCAGAGTATTTTCTAAATGAATGCGGAAACAGAAGAAAAACTAATTGTCGAAAGCATTCATGAAGAAAAGAAAAGCGATAAATGGTCGAAAAATCGATAATCAAAGCTTCAACTCAGACAAATAAGCTAAATCAATACAAAGAAAAACTGAAGACGCTATTAACAAACTGCAAGTCATTACCAAAGGAGTATATAGTTCTCTGATAATGCTTCATATGAACTAGAGTATCTTTTCAAGAAACTAAAATTTTTTCAATCGACAGACTTTTCATGAAGTTGTATCGGAATTATTTCTGATAGAAAAGTGTGACTAGGAGAAAAGAATTTGGACTATGTGTTGTGGGTGTGCGGTATGCAAGACGACCTACATTGACATTTTAATTTTTGTTTTTTGTGCCCCTTTAAAAGTAAATGTTCGGAAAAGTGGTTGATGTTCATCTTACTTTTACATAGCACTATCATAAATATTAGAAAAATTCTTTGCATCGACCAGTTGTCGAAGATTCATTCTGGTGTAGTTGTAAACATAATAAAAATTAATAAATTCTTTTTAAAATATCAAGATAGATATTATCAATATTTTTCTTTCTACTCTTTTACAATAATAGCTAGATAATAAACATATTGATAAAATTCAAATAATCAGAAAGAATATCTTTTGAATTAAAATTTTATATTTATATTTTATGTTTTTAAGGTTGGCAACGAATGCATGATAATCAAGGACGACCTTATTTTATAAATCATTTATCAAAAACAACTCAGTGGGAAGATCCACGACAAATGAATAGTAGTTTATTTGATTCACCATTACCAGATGGCTTTGAAATGTGTTATACAAAAGATGGACAAGTCTATTTTCTTGATCATAATACAAATACAAAAACTTTACGAGATCCAAGACTTGATAGTAATAATCTTAATATTAAATCTAAACGTAGTTTATCATATAAAATTCGACAGTTTCGTTATTTATGTTCAACAAATGCAACAAATGGACAATTAAAATTAACAATACGTCGAGATCGTTTATTTAATGATTCATTTAATCATATAATACAATTTCAATCAAGTGAACTTCGTCGACGTTTATATCTTTCATTTAAACATGAAGAAGCACTTGATTATGGTGGTGTTGCACGTGAATGGTTTTTTCGTCTGTCACATGAAGTACTTAATCCAATGTATTGTTTATTTGAATATGCTAATAAAAATAATTATTATTTACAAATTAATCCAGCATCATCAATTAATCCTGATCATTTAATTTATTTTGGGTAGGATTTATTAAAAACTTTTATTTAGGTTTTTATTTTTCTAAATTTTATATTTCTTGTAGATTTATTGGTCGTTTTGTTGCTATGGCACTTTATCATGAAAAATTTATTGATAATGGTTTTAGTTTACCATTTTATAAACGTATGCTTGGTAAAACATTAACAATAAATGATTTACAATCATTAGATCCAGAATTTTATAATAGTTTATTATGGATTAAAGATAATAACTTAGATGAAAATGATGATCTTGAATTATATTTTAATACGACATTTGAATTACTTGGTAAAGTAGAAAATGTTGAATTAAAACCTGGTGGTAATGATATTAAATTAACGGAGGATAATAAACCTGAATATTTAGAATTAATGACTAAATGGAGATTTACACGAGGAGTTGAAGAACAAACAAAAGCTTTTTTACATGGATTTAATGAGGTACATATAAGCATAAAGTATTAATCAATTATTTGTTACTTTTACGAGGAAAACCCTCGAACGGATACTTGCCGTTTGAGCATATATTGGATCTTAGAAGGAGTTGTCTTTATATTCAGTATTTCGACGCAAAAAATTTTCTCCGTAGATAGATCTAATGCTCAAACTTTCAACTGAAGATGATGTTTTTTTGTCGAGATATTAAATTTTTCAACAAAACCCAATTTTTGGGATCATGACTGTAGTAAGCGTTCATTTTACTTTTGAAAATTCAATTAGGATTTTCTATGGATTATTTGACTTATCTATGGATAAAATCTAAAGCCAAAATTCTGTTTTTTTTCGGTATGTACCTAAAGATGTCTTGGAAATCCAACGCAGCAATTGTAACTCAATTTTAAAGGCTCACACAAACAAATCTATGTAATCATCTTCTAGTTTTATCGAGACCCTCTTGTGTGTCCAATATGAGCTCAAACAGCTAGTATGAAGTCCTCATTAGCATGAATGCATCTAAATAATGTTAAAAATTCATCATCATCATCCGTATCGTTTTTTTTGATCTATTCATTAGCTTGAATATATTCCTTACTATCGTAGTTATCTATTAGAATTCCTTGGTTTATTTTATCTCTTAGGTTGTTCCATTACAATGGATACAAATATTTGATGAACGTGAATTAGAATTACTTTTATGTGGTATATCAAAAATCGATATTGTTGATTGGGAACGTAATACAATATATAAACATTATACACAAAGTTCTAAACAAATTCACTGGTTTTGGCAATTTGTACGTGAAATAACTGATGAACAACGTGCACGTTTACTTCAATTTGTAACGGGTACATGTCGTGTACCGATTGGTGGTTTTGCTGAATTACTTGGTAAATATGTGTTATCGATGTGTTTGATTTTGAAATTGTTTCTTTTTCTTTCTTTTTTTTTTTTTATTAAGGATCAAATGGACCACAAAAATTTTGTATAGAAAAATATGGCAAAGATAATATATTACCACGATCACATACTTGTTTTAATCGATTAGATTTACCACCTTATAAAAAATATGAAATTTTAAAAGAAAAACTTTTATTTGCTATTGAAGAATGTGAAGGTTTTGGTCAAGAATAAACACAAAAAAAAATAGAACATCATTTTTTTTCTATATTTATTTCAATGTGAATGAGTTTTTGTCCGTTTGTCTTTCTTCGATATACCTACTAAAACATGTTTTTTTTTTGTTTTTTCATCTATTTTCTGTAATATGTGGATTTTAGTATTTCCTTTTGTTTGATTGACAACAAAGTATATTTCCTTCTAATGCGATATTTATTTTGTCCATATTTGTTAATTGATTCTCTTGAATTTTTGTGTTCTTTGTTAAAACAGTGCAGAGTTCGTGTTTTTCTTTTTTTTTTTTTCTTTAAATAGTTTTTATGCCAACGAAAGCAAATAGCGCAACACAGATATTTAAAAAAAAAGACAAAAGAAAACGATGTTTATTATTAATAAAAAAAAAAAAAAAAGTTAAATTTTATTTTCCTTTTTTTTTATTTCGAAAAGAAAAATGTCCTTGATGCTGTTGTTTTGTTTTATTGATTGGTGTGCAGTAAGATTATAAGATTTATTTTTATTCTGAAGGTAAAAGATTAATTATGAATAAGAATTATTGTTTTTATTGTTTAAAAATTTGACAATAGTTGACTTCGATGGAAAACATGAATCTTCATTTTTAATTTAAAAAAAATTCGACTCATATTAGAAAAAGTTTATGAGTAATTGAGTTATGATAAATGAATTTAGCTAAAAACAAATGTGTCACTTATACAAATTATTAATTGAATTTTATTTTTTGATAATTTATGCTTTTGATTGGTATAAAGTCTTTATTTATGAAAAATAATTAATTGAAAAATGATAGCATATCGATTATAAATTAGTTACGGTTAATAAGTAGATATTGATGTCAAAGGAAAGAAGATACGGTTTGGTTAAATATTATAAAATAAATTTATTGTTCTCTTCGAACGTGTTTTTATGATGTGAGATATCATGAAATCAAATAAGACATTGAGTAGAATAACTGCATGTCTGAGCGAAAAACATATTTGTTTTTGTTTTTAATAAATCGCAGTTTATACTGTTCAATATTTTCTTAAGCTAATAATTATGAGTGAATAAAATGTATTTTGACCGATAGATATTCTTCAATCCATTAGTTGTGTTTGTTTTATGTGTTTTTGATGTGTATATAGAATTTCAACTTAATTGTCGTAAGATGTCCCCAGTGAACATTCTTCGATTTGTTATTTGAGTTTTATTGACAAATTGTTTGTAATATTTGAATTAGTTTGATTTCATTTGATATTTTACGGAATTTGTTTTTTTTTTATTTATTTATTCACTAATTTTATTTTTTAAATTAATTTTTATGTTTCAGTATGCAAATTAAATGTCTCATACAGTGGAATCATCATTATCTTTTTTTTCACCAGTATCATCTAAAGTAAGATGTCTTGTTTATTTAATTCCTAAATAAATTAATATAAAAAATTTCAAGCTTGCATCATCCAATACAAACAAAAATGAAAAAGAGATAAATCAAACAACAGAAGTTTTGTTACCTCTTTCACCACTTTTTGATGCTACTATTGATGATGATTACTTAGCTGTTCAATCTTTATTAAGCAAAAATTATGATGTTAATACTAAAGTATTGATAAAATAAAAAAAAGTTGATTTACATAATTTATTCATTTTGATTTATTCGTTTTCTTTTTAATATAATAATAAAGGATATCGATGGCATAACTGCTTTACATTTATGTGCTTTCTTCAATTGTGTCGCGACATGTGATACATTATGTGCACGTCGGGCATTTGTCAATGCTAAAGATAATCAATTATTAACTCCACTATTTTATGCATGTAAAACGAACTGCTCAGTAAGAAGGAAAAACATTTCATATTTCACATGTTGCATATTTATAAAAAAAAATAATCATAGACGATTGTACGAACTCTCGTTGATCATGGTGCTGATTGTGATGCTCAAAATAAGAATTGGCAAACTCCATTACATATATGTGCATTATCATCTAATGCATCATCTGCAACTTATATTATTCATCATGTTACAAATGTTGATACAACTGATCAATATGGACTAACAGCTCTTCATTATGCTGTAAGTTTTTTAATTAAACTTAATTTGTTTGTTCAATATTTTTTGTTTTTGGTTTTATAAATTTAGTGTATGAACGGAAATATTGAGGTAAAAGATATTGAAGAAAGATGAAACAATAATACATTTTGAAGTTTTTTAAACAATTCTAGATGGTGAAGTTATTGATTGATGCAGGAGCAAATGTTAACTTATGTGATCGTAAACATAATTATCCACTGCATTATGCATCAACTAAAGGATCAACTGAAATCTTGAATATTTTACTTAATTCTCATGCTAATCCGAATTGTATTAATGATCAAGTATGTTCAACTAATTACATTAAAAAAAATATTAAATCAATATTCTTTGTTTTTCAAGGGTCTAACACCTTTACATCTTTGTATCATTGGTAATCATATTGATTGTATTCGAAAATTACTTGATTCAAATGCTAATGTTAATGCAAGAACACATCATGGTAGTTTACCTATTCATTTGGCTGCCTATCTTGGCAATATAGATACTTTTGATTTGCTTAATAATCATTCAAAAGCTCCGAAATTAACAGAAACAGATGAACAAGGAAATGTATGTATTCATTTAAAATAGAAATGATAGAAGAAGTGTTCAATAATGGTGTTAAAATAAAGTCGAACCTATTCATATTATTTGTAATTAAAATAACAAAAAAAATAGAAAATCTTACATTGATATGCCTAGAAATATGCAGTATTTGTATACATATTGAATAGTGAGTCAACAACACAGGATTAGAATTCAGCGGTTCCAAAAAACTGGAATTGAAACCATAAATCATCAGATAGATGCAAAAATTCTTAAATCTATGTCGAGAAATCTTCACATTTTTATTAATGATGGTTTTTTTAGTAATGAATTATGTGGGTGTCCTTTATCTTGCCAATTCAATAGTGACAACTTCTCAAAATAGATTTAACACTTTATTATCTATTTGATGATTGAACGGCTTCAGTTCAAAGTGATATTTTGGGAACCGAACTCTGTACAGAGTTCACTCGAGCACTGACTACATCGAAATTCACCTTCATTGTAACATTGATGCATTAGCTCTATCGGACAGGGTGCCAATCAGCGAAAGACTATTCAGCGAAAATTTTGAGTGAATAGAAAAAACCGAAAAAAAATTCAGCTAAATAATTTTGGGCGAAATGACTAAAGGTAAAAAATTATTTGAGCGAAATGAAAATAAGCGAAAGAATAAATCAGCGAAAACTACACTAAGCGAATTCTTTTTCCGCGAAAAAATTCTCACAGCGAAAGTACATTTGAGCGAATAGCGAAAACCAAAACAGCGAAATTTTTGATAGCGAAAAATTTATTTCAAAGTAAATAGACGATAAAAATCAATAAGATTCAAGAAATAAAGAAACGTATCAGATAGACATCGAATAATATCAATAAACCCAGATAAAAAAATAAACTACAATTATGAGAAGTTCAGAATGGCTTTGCAGAACGTTTAGCAACAAGTGTAGATAGTCCATAGAGAAAGTCAATTAAAGTAATTTGTTCTTGTTCGTATCGTTCAGTTAGTGTATTAATTTGCTTTTGACTAATACAGATGTTACTACTTGTTTTTCGACGAACACGATTAAAACCAGATTCTATGTAATACGGACAAAAAATAGAGATTTCGTCTAACCAAAAACTTACTTCCTTCATCAGTAGTAGATGCAAGTGTTAAAACGGTAGAAGATAGATTAGAACGAGCTAATTCTTCTTCGTATATCTTAGGTATAGAACTTGTTTCAGCTTTTACTCTTTCTTTGACTTTTCTTTTTAAATTTCTAAGTTCAATTTGTTCAGGTTCAGGCATATAATGATGCTCACTATTAGATTTAATGAAATGGTCATTTTTGTCTGTGTGAACATTAGCTGCACAGCCATCCGAATGACAAGTCCAATACTTTACTTTCATCGTTGATTTTTTTAAGCCGAAAAATATATCCTGAATAAATTAGCAAAGGTTTGCCTCGATTTGAAGTGGTGAAAGAAATCGATGTTGAATCAGTCATATTTATTAAGTTCAAGAAAATGATAAAATGATGTGCGTAGTATCGACTGAAATTATGGATGAAAGAGAGATATGCAAGAAAGAAGAAACATAATCGAATAGTACGTTATTTGGTCAGAATAGAGAAAAATGGGTAAAGGCGTTACTTTTGGACGCACTCCGCATGATGAGTCATCATTTTATAGAGATAATTTGAGCTATTGAAGGAAAAAAAAATTCGCTGAAAGTGCTTTTGCGATATTATCTTTCGCTATTTCTGGCATTCGCTGTCAGCTTTTTCGCTATTTTGAACTTTCGCTATTTGACTTTTCGCGATTGTACATTTTCGCTGTACTGTTTTTCGCTGTTGTTTTTCGCCCAAAAAACCATTCGCTGAAATTTTTTTCGCTGAACGGACACCGGTTCGCTCTATCCAAATGTGCTCTTTTGGTATCGATATATTTCAACGGTTCAATATGCACTAACTATACATTGACAAGGGAAGATTTTCAGATATTCACATGCTTTTGAGCTGATATCATGTTCATGAGCATTGCTTACGAAGTTTTAAACTGTTAGAGTATTTTTCATGCATGTGCAAATAATAGCAAATAATTTCTGATAGCTACTAAAAATTATGAGACTGTAAGTGTTTTTCAGAATGAACTTAATAATTACTAGACTATACTAAACTTTTCGACAATTTTTCTTAATCAAATTTTCCATTTGAATGTAAACTGTTTATCTTCATGATTGCCATATGAAGCCGATGGGTACTTTAACATTGATCATCTGCAACCTTATTGAAGTTGCGCTGATCGAAAGTCTAGTATAATCTAGTTATCATTAGGTTCATTCTGAAAAAGATTTATCGTTTTCTACTTCTTAATAGTTATCAAAAAGTACTTGCTCCTACTTTTACATGTATGAACCATACTCGAACAATTCAAAACTCGACAAAGAAAGTCTATGAGCATAAATTCTTTGAAAGCTTTTCATAGCTTATTAATGTTTACTTATAGGCAAAATATCAGCTGAAAAGGACACAAACATCAGGGGGTGTTCTATCGTAACTTGTAAGTCAGTGAAACAAAATTGTACATGCCTAGTTATATTTTAACATTTTTTATTTTAATTGTAATTCATTATTAGATATACTTTGATAAAAGATCCAGCAGTTCCATCTACAATGACACACAAAATTTCTGGTATAAAATTATTTCCCAAAAACTTCGAATGATTACCAGAAATTTGGTGTCGACAGTCTTAATTTCTTGAACATCTTCATCCAAACAGTTTTGTTGAAGTGTTCTAACCTACCATGCCTTTCAGCTACACAAATGCTTTTTCAAATCTCCATAAGTATTACCATCGAGAGGAAAACTTAGAAATACAACTGCTCGAAACTTGTATCCGTCATGACAACTTTTAGCTAGAAAATATCCCAGATCTAGCTCAAATCGATAGTTTAAATTATAGATTTTTAGAACTAAAGATCATTATATCGTTTTGATTCTTCTGATATACATATATATATATATATATATAGATTTTATTGATTAATTGAGCTTACAATTTTCTTTCGTGCATCTTAACTATTTGATAAATAAACAATTTTATCTTTAAAAATCTGCAATTCTGACTAATTCTTCTTTTGCTTTTTCACGCAAAGACTCTTCTTCATTTTGCCGCTGCAACAAAATTCACAGGAACAACTATCATTCAACATATATTATCTAAACTGCAAACATCATTAGTCAATACACAAAATTTCAAAAAACAGTCTCCATTACATATAGCTATCTTGCATAATAATGAAAATGCTGTTCATCAATTACTTACTGCTGGTAAAAATTAAAAAAGAAAACTTATTTTTCATATCAATAGTTTTATTGATTTTTATGTTAGGTGCTGATCCAAGTTCAGTTGATAATGATAATAATACACCATTACATTTATCAACTTCATTAATGAGTAAATATAATCAATCAAATATTCTTTTAGCCTTAGTTTCTCATCATCCTAATATATTATGTCAAAAAAATAAATATGGTTTAATACCACTTCATTTAGCATTAAAAAATTTTGATTATCAATCTATAAATTATTTAATGCCTGAAAATGAAGGCAATTTAATTGAACAAGCACAATATTCATTATTAATACTTGATTCAAGTGGACGTCATTCACTTCATTATGCTGCTCATTCAGGTTTAACAACATTTATTGAACGTTATTTTAGAAAAATGAATAAAGATATTATTAATCAACAAGATACACTTGGACTTACACCATTACATTATGCATGGTAAGTATTGATTTCTTTTTTCTTTATTTCGAAGAATTAACATTAATATATATATATATATTATTAAGTATTAAATGGCATGGACTTGATTCAATTGATATTTTATTAAAATATGGTGCTGATGTTAATATAAAATGTCATACATATGGAGCTATTCCATTGCATTATATTCTTGTTTATTGTAATTCATCAGATGTCATTGAACAATTAATTCGTGCTGGTAGTGACGTATTAATATGTACAAAACATGGTGAAACATGTTTATCATATTGTATTATGCAAAATGATACATATTTACTTCAAAAACTTTTTAATTCAGTATCGAACAAAACTTTTGATATTACAAATCTATTATTTTTATCTTGTTTACATGGAAAAGATAATTCATTAGAATATCTTCTTGAAAATTATAAAAATATTGATTTAAATGAAACTATGAACGATGGAATGACAGCACTTATGTTAGCTTGTTATTATGGACATTGTTCATGTGTACATTTACTTTTACATAGAAAAGTAAATGTTAAAAAAATTAATCCAATTGATGGAAAAACTAGTTTACATTATGCAGCATTAAGTGGACAAAGTGAATGTTTACTTGCTTTATTACAAGAATTACAAGCTAGTCAAGATGATTTAAAATTAATTATTAATCTTCGAGATAAAAAAGGAAAGTAAGTATATATCATAAGACTAGAGTCTTACGATACGGACCCAACGGGTTCTTTTTGGAATTCGAGATTGTCTTGCAGAACTGTAGATGCAATATCAGCATGATTATACGAAACTACATCTTAAGTTCAGATATTCAATCTACTTCGAGAGATACAGTTTATTAAAATTATTACTCTAGACGAATTTCTTTCACGAGAAAATTTAATGTGTCGAACTGATCTATAAATGCCTTTGTACTGCAAAGTTACAATGAAAATACAGATAGGTATATCAATCGACATCAGTACTCTGAAATTGACTAAAGGTGTTTGTCATTATCTTATTCAAGTTTGTACTGTTAAATAGTCTATAAGGTAAGTGTACCTCTGTATGCTAGAATGAATATGGTATTTTTTCATATTTTACTTGAATAAAAATTAGAATACATCATTCAATTTTTTGATGAAATTCTACATTCAAAATTTGATCGAATCAAAGTATTAATATACAAATGAATAACATAAAATGCTTATCAACACTCGTATGTCGTTGATCGCAAGTTTAGAATATGTTCTTCGATAGTTCTGCGAGAAATCAAATTTATTTAGTTCTAGTTTTAAATTTACATATATTTTAAAGCTATAAGAATATTTTAGTCCTTTTACGTGTGGATGTAGATGAAAGAAACACCGCCATTCTCGCATACCTGCAATAGCATAGAAGCAAACCGACATAAGTTTGATTTCTCGCGAATTTCTCATTCAAGAAGTGAAAAATAAAACTTGAATAATTACGTTTCTGAGAACTAAAGAAAAATCTATCATATTGAATTAATTCTCATTAAGTGGTTAGAAAGTTGGCATAGAGATGAATTAAGTTGATCAGCCTTACAGTTTTTATAATACATACTGTTTCACTGTAGGACGGCTCTACATTATTGTGTTGAACATTCTTCACCAAATTGTATACGTTTATTAATTAATTTTGGTGGTGCAAATCCGAATGTAACAGATTTATCATTACTAACACCATTACATTATTGTGCGATTTATAATTGTGAAGAAAGTTTACAAGAATTACTTGATGTACATGATTTAAAAGTTAATGCTATTGATAAAAATAAACGATTACCATTACACTATGCAGCTGCAACTGGAAATATAACTATTTTATCAACTTTAGCTGACGTAAATTATTCATATTTATATTCGTAATCAATTAAGATATTCTTTGTTTATTTTTAGTATGATTACGAACAAGTTGCTGATATTGATGGATTTAGTCCATTACATTATGCCGTTTTGAGAGGTAAATAAAAAATAAGAATCATTTCTTTTTTTTTTATGTTGATTTTTATTCTTTAAAAAAACTATTTCAGGACATGAAACAGCAGTTCGTATTCTACTTGCTTCTGAAATTAGTCTTCGATGTTTAACAACAAGTCGTATAACACCTGTTCATCTTGCTTGTATTTGTGCTGATTCAACATGTCTTAAAGTAATTTTAAATGCTTTACAAACGGATAGTATTTCAACAATGATCAATTTACCAACAAAACTAGAGCAGTAAAAAACAAAAAATGTAACTTTAAAAATAGACAAATATTTAATATACTTTTAGATTTACACCTTTACATTTAGCATCAATGATAAAAAATGGATCTGAATGTATAAAAATATTACTTCATTATGATGATGTTAATGTTGATGCGAAAGATCATTTACAACGTACACCAACTATGTATGCGATTATCAACGAAATTGATTCCAGTACAATAGGTATGAATTAGAAGTTTTTGAAATTTTGAAAACTTGATAATATTCAAGTTAGAGAAAAAAACAAAGTGGTAATCGTTCTTTTCTTTGTCTATATCCCATGATTATTAAAAGCTTTGTTTATTTGGTATTTCAATGTAAAGAATAAAATTGATAATTTGTTTGTTATTGTTATTAATGAGAGATGGAAATATAATGAAACAAGTTCGATTAGGTATGTAGATCGAAAATGCAAGGCTGTTATTCGTGTTTAAGTTGATGATATATAGAAAGCAAAATGGGAACAGAAACTCATATCTCATGTGATAAATTCTCATTAACTAATCTTAGTATATACAAGTAGTTCAACTAATCGCGATCATGGTGGACATGATTAGCTCTATTCTTAACCTTCACATGCTAAACAATTTTTTAAATTCCTCAATCTAATTTTTTTATCAATATCATTAACATTTTAAAACATTATACGAATTAGTCTTTTCAGGAGCATTCTTATAAGAGAAATCCTCTAATTGATTAATTTCTTTTAAGTTGGGACTGCATGCATTATGTAGACCCTAACGGATTACGAATACTTTGAAAATAGCTCCGATCTATAGGTTACTGCTACCAACATATTGTATTTTTACGGTTTTTTTTTGATACAGTACTCTGATCCCCCTCAGAAGCATTATCAAATTCAGATAAGAAACAAACCAAATGGTCTGATACGTTCATGATTCACTGTTTTCGATACTATCTCTTTCTGGTGTTACTGAGAAGACCACAGCATTTTATTAAAAAATGCCGTCATAATTCAAAACATCGATAGCAATAACCTGTGCACCCAAACTCTTCTCTGGATGTTCATAACCCTGTAGAGTTAACATGATGCATATGCTTCCAGCTCAAAAATTGAATGTCAGTTAGCCTTCATTGATCGAAGTATAATTCATTCTAGACAGATTTTCAGACAGTCTAGATAAATGATAAACATTTCTTATATTAATTATTCAATCTTCTAAAAGTATAAACCATCTACTCTAATATTCATTTGTCTTTATTTATTTAGATATGCTAGTTTCGAAATGCCATTATTTTGATGCTGTTGATCATTTAGGAAATAATATTCTTCATTATGCTTGTATATTCGTATGTTGAAAACAAAAAGAAGAAAGATTTTTATTCTTCTCTATTCTTATTTTGTTGTTTAGAACAATGAACCAGTTGTTGAAAGTCTTTTAAAACGAAATACGTCTTCATCATTTGTTGAAGCAATCAATAAGGAAAATCGAACGTGAATATTTCTTTTTTTTTGGTTTCATATTATATTTAATTGAATTTTATTCTTTTTTTTCCAATAGACCGTTAGATATAGCAAGAAATAATCAAATGTCACCTTCGATAATTGATATATTATTTTCTTTATCTGGTCGATTGTAAAATCTTTTCAGTGATTTAGTTTTCCTTGACTGTGATATGAACAGAAGAAAAGAAAACAGAGAAATAAAATAAAACACATTTGTCAGATGTTCATTTATTGTAGATATCCAAGATTCAACTTTCCTTTCTTTTTTTTTTGTATAACGAAATGAACAAACTAAATCTTTTAATAAAAACGATGAAATTTTCCCATTGTACTACTAACACAAATGTTTTTGATACTTTACCATTGTTTTATTAATAATCTAATAATAAAATTAATTCATATATAATCGTATTAGTTATTTATTATTCAATAGTCATATTCAAATGTTCTGGCAATATTAATAATTAATTGTTTTTGTGAAACACGATATAAAAGAAGAGTTCAAGTATAGAGGTAGAAACTAAGACTTCACAGACATTTTTAGCAACATCACTCATTCATTACAGACCACGACAGACACAACCATATCAATATCATACATCGTATATTAATAATGTCCTCCCTAGACAGAATAAAACGGTCTACCTGTAATTAGTAACAACAAGTTTGCCTTTCAGATTTTAGTGCTGCAGGGATCGTGCTAATAGTCTTTTTTGAATCGTATTTATAATGTATATTTGATCTGCTGACATTTATCAGATATTGTTTTATTATTTATTGTAAATATTATGAATCTTCTTATTTTTCTGAAAAAATTGTGTTTTATGCTTAATTCAATTAAGAAAACAATAATAAAGTCATACTCTTGCAAATCAGTTTATTTAAATAAGTATCATCCTTCGTATGAACTATACATCATCTAGTTAATTTAAGATATTGAGAGAAGAATAACTGACTCGAGGATTGAAAAAACAGCACATAAAAAGAAGTGAAATAACCAAGATAAAGCTGTTTTCGCTTTTTTGCGGTGGTCCATGTTGTTTTTCTAAATCTTAAAATTTTCCTCGATCAGATATAATATAATAACCACAACAAATCATAACGACAATAGGATATTTACAGTCACAGATTCATGAATATGTTGAACGCGTACATTTGATGGACATTGCAACGAACGGAGCAGCATGTAATCAAGTTGCCAATCTACTAAATAACATCCACGGTAATCATGGATTTTCTTGTTGACAAACTAAAATGTTATGATGCTTCTTTTTCGTCGATGAAACGATACATAGAGATCCAAACCAATACAATGTTGAGCTCTTTTCAAACTGAAGAGTTTTTATTCTAGGCATTTTTTGAGCCGTATGAACATGCCAGTCCTAACAGGACAATAGAGCTTAAGGGTGAACGATATCAATAGAGAATTGAATCAAACTAAAATAAGAAGAAGAACACAGCATACAAAAACACAGAAGCAAATCAAATACTTTTAAAAAAAGAAGAATAGAAGTACGAAGCCACGAATATAGTACGAAAAGAGAAGAGAACAGTCAGGAGAAAAAGACATAAATCGTACACAGATAGGAAGGGAAATACCATATATCATACATGATATATCGTACGAATATCATATTTATTCGTTTACAAATACTTATGACATTTTATCGAAACACAATAGGCATGACAATCTTTGGTAAAAGGAACTGATGCCGACCACTTTTCAT